TCCGTCGATGGACGCTCAGCGCTGGAAAAAAACAAATTATACATGTTTAAATCTCGAAATATATAAATTTAAGCTGAATCAAACCATGGCCAAATATTTTAAAGCAATTATTACACCTGAACACCACAGTACGTAGGTAGGCATGTACAGTAACGCAATTGTATATGCTAATGCTGAATAAAATATGAATTAATTAACAGAAGATATTACAAGAATAATAGTTTGACTATAAGTATATTGAAAGAATTGAAATGTTATGATAACTATTACTGCTTATTCTGTGCTTTTTCTTTAAAAAAAAAAAATAATGAATACTTACTTTCAGAAGCGACATGGCCTGTTGCCCTCAGTTTGTGGGGTGCTGCGATCATTCGTGTCCGAGACGTCAGCTCGCAAAATGCGCTAGTAGGGTGGTAGCAGCATGGTAGTAGCGTTCGTGACACAGTGCACCAGGCACAGACCTTATTGCGATGAACATCCTGCTCGTGTGCAAAAAAAGATTAGGTAGCAAGCAATTAGTACTGAAACAAGCCCAAGGTTCTACCAAACCCTCAAACTGGTCACTCAGTTTGTAGAAGGTGTAGAGGAAAAAGTAATAAGATTGCAAGGGTTTCACATATATTTTGTTTTACACTAGTAACAAACGTTTAGTAACACAAGTTTTCAGTAACACACAAGGGACACCAGCGTGCGACATTCTGCAATACCTCCCAGTGTGCAATTGCAGCATCACACTGAGCAGCAATATCTGCCGTGCAAAACATTCGTGAGCTGAGCACTCAACACGACACAAGGCATTCGTTGCGAAACATAGGAACTCCAGTTACGAGTCAAAAGTAAAACACCATCCAAACACTCCCTCAAATCACGTCGCATCCATACATCCGCGAAACACACGCTTGCACAGCCCTGCCACAACCGTTACGTATTTTTTAACACGACGGCGGTTTTGCCTAGTGAGCTGGCCGACCGGCGGATTTTGCGCCGCTCGGCCTGGTGGCGCAGCGCCTTCTCGCGCCGCCGCGAGTCGCGCTTCTTACCAGCCGGGGCGAACGTCATGGTTCCTGAAGCCGGACACATGCTGCACGGGTCCGTTGCTCTGCTGGCGCCGCAGCCGGTCGCCGAGCGGCACGCGTCGCGCGCGCCGGGCGCCGCCGGTGATCTCGCGCACACTGTCGCCATGCAGCACGCGCACCGGCAGCGCAGCCGGGTTGGCCACCAGCTCGGCGGGCCGTTGGCGCCGCTCGAGCTGACGCTGCTGCTGGCTCCGCTGGAGCTCGGTGACGTATTCCTCGCCGTCGGAGCTGTCCTCGGAGCTGGGCCGCCCCTCGAGCTCGAGTTCCTCCTGGAGGCGGCACTCCTCGGCCAGCCGCTGTCCGCGCTCGGCCTTGGCGGCCCGCTGCTCCTCCAGCGAGCTGAGCACCGGTTTCAGCAGCCTGAACGTGTCCGACTCGTGATCCATCGTGAAGTCGGGGTTCTTGAACATCGCCTTGAAGCGGTTGTCCTCCAGCAGCCCATGAGTCGTCTTCCTCTTCTTGATGTTAGACGACTTGGCACCGTGCATCAGATTCAGCGCCACGTCTGTTGACTGAGGGCCGCTTGTCCAATTTGACGCCGCTGTCGCGTATGGCATCCAGCTTCTCCTTGATCTTCATCTTGCGGTAATCATCGAACGAATCATCAAGTCCTCGGCCCTCGGGTACTCAGCATCTGCTGGCAGACACAACGGGGGAGTAGCGATATAAGTCTAGACAAACAATTGGCACACCCTAAATGAGATAAACGTGATTTGTTAAATGAATGCCATGCGGCAGTAAGGCAGTTGTGATTTGTTTTTTTTTATACAATTTTAAATTATGTCCTTTAGCACTTTAAAAGTTATTTAACCGTATCACAAACCTAAGGTTACATTACATACTTTCATAGCTTGCTGATTGACGCGCAGCATTTAAAAAAAAACCGTGGAGCCTACATTTTTTGGGCGATTTTGCGATAATGTAGGGGTTTATAGCGGCCGGCAGCTGCTGCCACCTAGCGGCACGGCCCGGAAGTTGTCGATGCGCGCCGGCGCGGCCGGCGCGGCGGCAGTCGGCTGGCGGGCCGAGAGGACGGGGACGCGGGGCTGCCGATGTGTGTGTACATAGTATTGTGTGAAAGTGAAAATACAGAAGAAACATTACAAATTGGCGCGGTCGGTAGGACGCCACGACCGAAAAACCGGAGCTGGTGAGCCAGAATCACGGTAAGGTAGCTGCGACCGGCATTCTGATCGATGTTTTCGGCGGAATAGGATATCGTGTAGTGTAAATATTACGGTCGGTTTTTGTCAGTTTGAGGGAGAAATGGATCCCAGGTTGATTTTTATGTCAAAGGCTAAACCCTTTACCGGTGCAAATGGGCAGGAATGGCGCCGCTGGCTGAACCGTTTCGAGGCACAAACTGTTACCTGGTCTGCCGCGGAACGTCTGCAGTGTTTGCCGGCCCTGCTGGAAGATGGGGCTCTGGACCTATATGCGTCGTTGTCGGCGGCTGCCCAGGCCGATTATGCACAGGTTGTCGAGGCGCTGAGTGTGCGTTACGGCTCTGAGGTTGGTCCACTGCAGGCACAGGCGGAACTGGCACGCGCGATGCAGACACCTGGGGAGACAGTAGCCGATTTTGCCGATCGTATCCGTCATCTGGGACGCGCCGCGTATCCAGACGAGGGCGTGGGAGACGCCCCGGTCGAGTTCCATTTGACGAGCCGTTTTCTGTGCGGACTGCGTAACGAGCAGCTTCAGAGTCAGCTGTGCAGCAAAAATCTGAAAACGCTGTCAGCTGCAATTTCTGCAGCCCGAGAGCTGCAGACACGTCACGATGCGATGCTGGCAGTCCGGCAATCGGCTGCGGCGGCGGCTGGCGCCGTTGCAGTGGCGGCTCCTGCTGCTAACTCACAGGAGGGCGCAGTCGCGGGTCCCGTGACGGCGCTGCCGCGCGGTCGGGAAGTGGTATCAGTCGCCGGTGACTTACCTGCCGCGGGACGAGGCGGCGATGAGACGGAGACGGATCGGGTGCGGGCGCTGGAGCGCCGCATGATGGAAATGCAGCAAATGCTGCACGAGCTCGACACGTCTGGCCACCACGGCGGGCAGCTGGGGGGCAGACAGTCTAGTCAGCTCGCCTATGATCAGTCAGCGGTGGCTCTAACGACAGCCGCGACCCCGGTCAACCTGCGCTGTTATAACTGCGGCCAGATCGGTCACACGCGGCGCGCGTGTACGGTGCAGGGAACCGCAGGTAGAGGCCGCCAGTCCACCGAAAACGTAGGCCGTTGCTTTGGATGTGCGAGAGACTGGGCATCAAAAAGACACGCACTACTCCGTACCACCCCGAGAGTGACGGCATGGTTGAGAGGTTCAACCGCACACTCAAGGATATGATCAGCAAGTACATCGACAAAGAGGGGCTGCACTGGGACGAGGAAGTAAAGGCGTATGCGATGGCGTACAACTCCTCGGTGCACAGCACCACGGGCTACACACCGTACTTCCTAGTGCACGGGTTTGAACCCCGGATGCCCCTGGATGCAGCATACGGTCCACCTCCTGAGGCGGTGCCAGTGCGGAGCTACCTGGAAGATCGGCTGCGGGTCATTCGCGCCGCGTATGAGCGAGTACGGAGCAACTCTGCACGCGCGTCACAAGAAGCCTGCAAGAGGTACAACCAGAAAGGGCGAGCACATGCCTATCAGGTGGGAGACAAGGTCCTGGTGCGCGACTTCACAGCTTCAGCAGGCGGGAAGCCAAAGCTGGGCCTGCCTTACAAGGGACCGTGGACGGTTGTTGGTCACATCGACGAGCGGAACAGCGGGGTGGTCTACAGGGTCGTGGGGAGCGATGGGAAGACCCGGGTGCTTCACCACAACCACCTGAAGCCGTTTAAAGAGAAACGGCAGCGGACCGGCGGCGAGAGGACCGGGCAAGACAGAGAGGCGACAGGAGTCCGCCATGCCGCCCCTACGCCCCGACCAGCAGATGAGCGGGGGGAAGGGTGTAGGGGTTTATAGCGGCCGGCAGCTGCTGCCACCTAGCGGCACGGCCCGGAAGTTGTCGATGCGCGCCGGCGCGGCCGGCGCGGCGGCAGTCGGCTGGCGGGCCGCGAGCCGAGAGGACGGGGACGCGGGGCTGCCGATGTGTGTGTACATAGTATTGTGTGAAAGTGAAAATACAGAAGAAACATTACAATAATACAAGAACGCGATGCCCTTGGCGATGCCAGAAAATGTTCACCTAGCGCAAACGGCTGGGGTGAGCCAAACTGCGGAAATTGCATTATTGCATGAAATGTCATGCAATATTGCTCAAATAAATTCTCGCACATTATCACAAAAAAGTTCAGAATCTGATTTTTTGGCAATAATGCGATATTATCACAATGACAAAATCACACAGAAAAATTGCGTAGTGGAGCCTGGGCATCAGAAGATTTAAAATTTGTAATTGTCAGGATTGTTACCAACACGTTGCTATCTTCCATCCTTACACCAAACCCAAGGCTATATTGATATAAACCAAACCTCACCTTTTCAAGGATCTTGCAGCCAACGCCGGATTGCAGGCACCCACAATTGTTGCAGATCGTAACCCACACAGTCGCGTCCAACCTCCAAGGCAGAAGGCTAATAACGTACCTATAACCTGATATCAACCAAGATACCTATAAAAAACCTATGTCCTATACCGCCTATACCTATAAGATATATACCTATAAGATATCAACCGCCTCGTCCCACAACCAAAACACAACACCTACGCTGGAAATCGCCACCAAATCGCCACTTTGGAAATTGCAAGGGAATCTTGGAGTTGGCGGCCAAATCTCCTGTTAACGTAGTGGTAATCTCATTTTGAACCACACAATAGGGTATTTTTGGGTATAGCGCCTTCCTTTGGTTGGAAAAACGAAACACGCGGCGGCAGCTCTGTCCGACTGCAGTCAGCTGACACAGCTCTGTCCGACAGTGCCGAAGGTGACGGAGCCGAGGTGGCCGGAATGGTACGAGGATGATGGTCTGTCAGTGTCGCTCCAGGGGGTGGCTGCCGACACCATCAGTCACCTGGCTGACCTGGGACGGACGGTCAAACGGCTGGAGATATACGGTGAGCAGCGGCAGCACGGACAGGCCGCTGATATACGAGCTCAGCGAATGGCGGACACCGAGTACCTAATGGTGTGCCGTTGTCGTACCTGGAGAGGGGTGCGATACATAGCAAATGTGCTTTGCGAAATAATGAAGCTAACTGAGCTCCAAAATCGACCTGAGGACTGTTCACTCAGTTACATATTCGTTCAGAGTTAGTTGATCATACTCATAACAATTGTGTTGCACTGTTCAATGAAGTTAAATGCATTTGCTTAACCTTCCAGGGGGTGGGGGGGCATTTTTTGCCCCCCTTTAGTTTTTTTTCAAAATATCTCGAGAACCGCTGCGCCGATCGTCACCAAACTTTCAGTACCCTCCCGGGAGCAGCTAGCACACATGGTGACCAAAAATTGTTCCAAAGGCTATGATAGGTTGGCCGCTAATGACGTCAGAGTGACGTCATTTCTGCAATTTTCGACCCAAAAAAAGGTTTCGCGGGAAGAGCTGTCAGGCCTACAGCTTTAGAGATACAGAAAAATGTTTTAGACATAAAAGGTGTGAAATCAAAAGGGCTACAAAACTGCCATTTCGGTTTTTCGATTTTTTTATTTTGAAACCAAAAATCAAAGAATAGATTTTTTTAATATAGTAGCCAAAAAATCCAAAAGTTTTTTGAATTTCGTAAAAACGGAATATATATGATAGTCCCTACCGCCTTCTATCTACACACCAAATTTGAGATCGATACCTCTTTTTTTGGCCAAGTTATAGCGAAAAAACTGCTCAAAATTGATGACGTCAAATTTCCAAACTCAATTTTTAGCAATTCTAGACCTCGTAGCGCAAAATCAAAACCACCATTAGACTCCCCGTGACGAGCTGCATCGAATCGATACCCATTTTATGCAAAAATATCAACTTTGAAATTTGACCTTTTTTGACCTGACCTTGACCTGACCTCCACCAGAAAGTGACCTAAACCGTACCTGATGGTCTTATAACAAACACCATTGAGTTGGAAATAAAAAATTGGCCATAAAACATGCATCGCATAACTTTAGTCTTGTTGACCTTTGGAGACCTGACCTGTGACCTGACCTGGTATGACCAGTGACCTCTAATAGCAACATATGTACTACACAACTGACGCCTTATCGCTGATTTTCGACAAAATGCGTTTTACTCGGTGTTATAGCGCTTTCCCTAGAAGCCCCGTGAACGGTGAAACATTGTATCTTTGACCTGACCTGTGACGTCATCGGTGACCCCGAGATCAATGAAATTTGGTTTCCCCGGACAACTTTGACAGGGCTATCGAACGCCGTTTGAATTGTTCGGATCCGTCCAGTAGTTTCCGAGATACGGGGGGGGGGGGCAAGAAAATGCCCCCCCCCCCCACCTCGCGGAAGGTGGCTGGTAGGCCCACCGCCTGCTGGGTTAACTGATTGCTATATCATATAATACCATTGTATAACCATTATCTACTGTGTCCATAAAACCATGCGAATTCATAGCTGTTTCGTTTTTCCCATATATTGACATGCATTGAAGTCGGCTGATCCTGTCTGTATGTGTGTCTGTGTGTTTTCCAGACTGTCCTGATCTCACGGCCGTGAGCCTGGAACCCCTCACCAGGTGCCCTGAGCTGCGATACCTATCAGTCACCGCCGCCGACCTCCCGCGACTGAGGGGGCAGCTGCCGGAGGGCCTCAGACTCCTCAATGTCAGAGGTGAGATACCACAGATCACACATGTTGGTAATGCCGGTATATACAATGGACAGCGTTGATGGCAAATTGATGAGCCGATCAGCCTCAACTAGCAATTTCCACCATTGATCGTGTACATTAATGTATAGTGAGAGGGGGCAATGCATGCACTTGCATAGGGTGCACATGCTTGTGGCGCATGCATGGAATAGGTATTAGTGCAACGTCGCGGGGTGGTTTAACCCTCGTCGGCACACGGGGGGGGGGGTTGATGCAATTCCCCCTAAGGTTTTTCGCAAATAACTCGAGTAAAAAGCGGCCGATCGCGACAAAACTTTCAGTACCTTCACATTGGTTAATCTTACACCTACCCTAAAATTTCATGACCCTGACCCAAATGACCTTTGACCTGTGACTTACTTTCCGAGACCATGTTTGGCCGGAATCGCGATTCGACGTATGTCGGCTCGCATTAGCCGCGCGTTTTGCAAGCTTTTCGTGGTTTCAAACGTTCAAACATGTGATTTGATGCTGCTCCCATCATCCCATCCCATGCATTAGGGTGGATGTTAAGGTCACCTGAAGGTCAGGTCAGGTCAATGACCTTTGGTGACCTCGGTTCACTTTTCGAGTTTTACACGTTTCTAGGCTAGTTTATTTTTTTAGCTGAACTCGAATTTATCAACCATTTCAACATTTACGAAGTAGCTTTGGTGCCTTCGTAACATGTTACGAAGCTGTCAGAGGCGGTTGGCACGTACTACGGATACCCGTCACGACCTCTACCGGTTGACCTGACCTGACCTGACCCGACCTGGTCTAAATGCTTAAAGACATCATCTCTGATCAAAACTAACACGATATTCGTGATCAGCACCCCAGAAAACCCCATAGCAGCCACACTTTACCGACTTTCTAACAGGTCCCGATTTTACCGATTTTGGGTTCATTGACCTGACCTGGAAGGTCACCCGATGACCTATAACCTTAAAAATGGATATCATCGGCTTCCTCTCGTGACGGGCAACACGCTCGTTTTTTTCCGCGAAGCTCTAGCTCGATCAAGGGCCAAACGCGAAGGGGGTCATACCAACCCCCCCCCTCCCCTTGTGCCGTCGAATGACGCAAAATGGCCTGTGCCGGCGAGGGTTAAAAGCTGAGGTACTAACAAACAATGGTTGCATTGTCACAAGCAGCAAATTTCCGAAGAAAAGTAATGAGTCTGACACCACGACTGAAACTGACTGACTACATAGAGAGCTCGCTGACGACGAGTCTGAGCAGACTGACGAGACTGACTGGCCGCGGCCCTGGCGCGGCGGTTATACAGAGTATAGGTGGCGCCACGATCGAAGGCGGCCAGCACGGGAATGCAGGCATTGTTATACAATTAGTGAGCACGTATTTCAATGGGAAATGATTATTAGGCATAGTGCAACCAATGAGAGTAGCATAAGTAGTTTCATAGACTACTGTATTACGCATATACTTATCGCATATACGTATTATGTTCATATTCACATTCTACATATGACTGTTATGCTAAAAATTGCTGTGCTGCCGCTCGGCTGTATCAGTGCTGGCTGTGTTAGTGTCTGACACTCTGGTGTCAGTGGTGCAGCGGGGAGCTGGCGGCAGCTCTGTCCGACTGCAGTCAGCTGACACAGCTCTGTCCGACAGGGCCGGATGTGACGAAGCCGAGGTGGCCGGGACGGTGCGGGTATGGTCTGTCAGTATCTCTCCAGGGGGTGACTGCCGACACCATCAGTCACCTGGCTGACCTGGGACGGACGGTCAAAGTACTGGAGTTATACGGTGAGCAGCGGCAGCACGGACAGGCCGCTGATATACGAGCTCAGGGAATTGCGGACACCGAGTAACGGTGTGCCGTTGTCGGACCTCATGGAGACAGGTGCGATACATAGCGAATGTGCTTTGCGAAATAATGAAGCCAACTGAGCTCCTAAATGGAGGACTGTACGATCAGTGACATATTCGCTCATAGTTAGTTGAACATACCTACATATTGCGATTGAAATGCAATGTTTGGTGCACTTCAATGCATTGGCTGAACTGATTGGATATCCATAGATAACATGAACATTCATGGTATCATGTTCATTCATTCATGTTATCACATTCATTCATGTTTATATGACACATCATATAGAACCACTGTTATACCATGGCTTACGGTGTCCATAAAACCATGCGAATTCATAACTGTTTCGTTTTTTCCATATAACGACATGTATTGCAGTCCGCTGATCCTGTCTGTATGTGTGTCTGTGTGTTTTCCAGGCTGTTCTGATCTCACGGCCGGTAGTTTGGAGGCCCTCACCAGGTGCCCTAAGCTGGGGGAACTCACCCTGTCCGGCGGCGTCCCTAACACCGTGAGCCTGGAGCCCCTCACCAGGTGCCCTGAGCTGCGGCGTCTCACCCTGTCCGCCGGCGTCCCTGACACCGTGAGCCTGGAGCCCCTCACCAGGTGCACTAAGCTGCGGTATCTCACCCTGTCCGGCGGCGTCCCTGTGAGCCTGGAGCCCCTCACCAGGTGCCCTGAGCTGCGGGCTCTCACCCTGTCCGGCGGCGTCCCTGACTCCGTGAGCCTGGAGCCCCTCACCAGGTGCCCTGGGCTGTTCAGTCTCACCCTGTCCGGCGGCGTCCCTGACGCCGTGAGTCTGGAGCCCCTCACCAGGTGCCCTGAGCTGCGGGTTCTCACCCTGTCCGGCGGCGTCCCTGACGCCGTGCTGGACAGTCTCAGCGGCTGGCCCGGGCTGAAGTACCTTACACTGGGGGACCTCCAGCGGCCGGCAGAGACGGCCTTCACAGCAGCAGGGGTCACCAGGTCAGTCAGCAGACAGTGGCGAGGGCTGTCCTGTCAGACACTGACACTGACACACTGACAGTGACACACTGACACTGACACTATGACACAGTGGCACTGACACAGTGACACACTGACAATGACACACTGACACTGACACATTGACACTGACACACTGACACTGACACACTGACACTGACACACTGACACTGACACACTGGCACTGACACACTGACACTGACACACTGACACTGACACACTGACACTGACACACTGACACGGACACACTGACACTGACACACTAACACTGACACTGACACACTGATACTGACATTGGCACATTGATACTAACACACTTACACTGATATATTGACACTGACACACTGGCACGGAGACACTGACACTGACACACTGACACTGACACCAACACTGAACACACCGACACTGAACTACTGACACTGACACTGACTGGTACGTCCGGTCGGCTGGTGCCGCTGTGTTTGTGTGTGACGGCTCTGCTGCTCTGCTCTGTTACAGACTGGTGAAGTCGTGTCGGAAGCTGGAGGATCTGTCCCTTCACTGCACGGCAGACACCGGCCGGGCCGTGCTGACCGCCCTGAAGAAGGCGGACCTGGGCCGGGACAGTAATGGCCGGCCCCGTACCATCAAGCTCAATGTCCCCGGTAGGTGAGAGGGCGCCGCGCGCCGCGCCTCTGACCAGTCAGTCCCTCACAACAGACGCTGCACGGCGCCACCGGCCTCTCAGACACACACACTCGACCACCGCCGCAGGCCACGTCACGGACAGTGACGTGACGCGTCACGGCCACCACGGCCGACGGTGACGTCACGTCAGCCGTCTGTTCTGTGTGTGACGTCACTGGCCGGCGGTGTGTGGACATGGCTGTACCGCTGTCTGTGTGTCTGTCTGTGTGTGACGTGTCCACCTCAGACGTGTCTCTGCTCTGTCCACAGAGGAGCTGTTCCGTCAGCTGTGGAGCCAGGAAGGCGATAGGGTCAAAGTGCTGAAGTGGAGGATTGATGCGCTGCACTACCGACCGTGCACTGTGCAGTGATGAGTTGACTGCAGAGAGGCCGAGCCAGTCGGCCGGGGCCGCCAGCTGACTGCTGCCGTGTGTGCTGCACCAGCCGGCACTGAGAGCGGCGCCGGTCAGCCGGCACACGGCCCCCGTGTCCGCTCTAGTGTAGTCATGTAGTTGTAGTAGTAGTAGTGTAGATGTAGTAGTAGCACACTGATGTGATTTAGTTGGTATTTATCGGGTGGGTATTGTGGGTAATTGGACGGGATATGTGATGCAGTGGGTAATTACCGGGTGGGTGTTGTGGGTAGTTGGCTGGAAGGATGTGACCTGGTGGGTAATTACCGGGCGGGTATTGTGGGTAATTGGACAGTGAAAAGTGATGTGACTGAGTGTAGAAACTGATCGTGACATTGCGATATTTTGTATATAGAACCCACATCTTAGCTTAGCTGTATAAATGGGGGCACTCCCGGACTGTCCGACTCGGTTCACCGCGCCTGGTCCCGGCGGCACGGCCGGCCTCGGTCACGTGACCGTCCTCCGGTGGAGTCGGACGGCTCGGTCACGTGACCGCCGTGCCGGGTCGGGCGGCTCGGTCACGTGACCGCCGTGCCGGTGCGGCTCGGCAGTCGGACGGGGACGCTGTCTCACCGGGCATCGAGGTGCACACTGCACAGCGCGCCATGTTGAGTGCTCTGGATTTGTGTTGTGACACTCACACGGACAGGTATATATCAATACACTACTGGATAGGCCGTCCGAGCTGTATAGGCGGTGTCAGTTGAGACGGCGGCTCACAGCCGCGCCCGCCCGGCCGCTCCGGCAAGCGGGTGTCTGTTCTACTCTCTGTCTTCTATACATACACGAGAGGAGACGCTTGAGCTGTATCATATATGTCGCCTTCAATAAACCAATGAGCAGTGTGCCGAGTGTTTGTCCGGCTGCACCGTCCGCCCCGCCCCGCTGTGAGCCGTCATTTTCCGCCCCGCCCCGCTGTGAGCCGTCATTTTCCGCCCCGCTCCGCTGTGAACCGTCATTTTCCGCCCCGCTCCGCTGTGGACCGTCATTTTCCGCCCCGCTCCGCGCGGTCACAGACAGTCCGCCCCGGCGGAGCGGAGCGGCAGTCTCCGTACACCGTCTCCGTACCCGTCATATACGGACCGTACAGCGGCCGTACACACTGCAGTGACACTGCAGTGACACACACACGGACACACACGGAGACACCTCGACACCAGGGCTGCGGAGTCGATGGATTTACGGCGACTCCGACTCCGACTCCGACTCCGGCTTTCAAAAACCAACTCCGACTCCGACTCCGACTCCGGGCAGAAATGTCGACTCCGATCGACTCCAACTCCCGACTCCGACTCCGCACACCTGGCAGGGCTGCGGAGTCGACAGATTTTCGGTGACTCCGACTTCGACTCCGGCTGGGGTTGCCAATATCGACTCCGACTCCGACTCCGACTCTGGTCACAACTGACGACTCCGACCGACTCCGACTCCGACTCCGACTCCGACTCCGCAGCCCTGCTCGACACGGACATACACGGAGACAGGGAGACACCTCGACACGGAGACACGGAGACACCTCGACACGGACACACACAGTTCCCGGCTTCTGCCCGGCCATATCTACTCGAGCTACAGCGAAACAGGTGATGAGTGAAAGTCAGAACTACTCGACTGATGTGGTATTATAATCAGCACCAAGTCCCCCCGTCCCGGCCATACAGCGGTGCGGCGCGGCTGCAGAGCTGTCTGCCGACTGGTGCGGTGCCGCCGGCCGTGGCCGCTCGTCTGTCGGCGGCCCGGACTGCAGCCGGTGGCCGAGCTGCCGGTCCCGGCGACTCGCTGCCGGCTGGGCTGACCGCCGTCAGTCACCTGAGCGGTGCTGGCCGGCCCGAGCCGGGGCTGCGGCGCGCCGCGGCACCTCAGCGACGCACCCTCTGGGACACTGAGCGGCGCGCACCGGTGGGACTGTCTCTGCCGACTGTCCCTACCCCATGAGTGGGACCGGTGGGACTGTCCCTGCCGACTGTCCCTACCCCAGGAGTGGGACCGGTGGGACTGTCCCTGCCGACTGTCCCTACCCCATGAGTGGGACCGGTGGGACTGTCTCTGCCGACTGTCCCTACCCCATGAGTGGGACCGGTGGGACTGTATCTGCCGACTGTCCCAACCCCATGAGTGGGACCGGTGGGACTGTCTCTGCCGACTGTCCCAACCCCATGAGTGGGACCGGTGGGACTGTCTCTGCCGACTGTCCCTACCCCATGAGTGGGACGGTGGGACTGTCCCTGCCGACTGCCCCTACCCCATGAGTGGGACCGGTGGGACTGTCTCTGCCCACTGTCCCAACCCCATGAGTGGGACCGGTGGGACTGTCCCTGCCGACTGTCCCTACCCCATGAGTGGGACCGGTGGAACTGTCTCTGCCGACTGTCCCTACCCCATGAGTGGGACCGGTGAGACTGTCTCTGCCGACTGCCCCTACCCCATGAGTGGGACCGGTGGGACTGTCTCTGCCCACTGTCCCAACCCCAGGAGTGGGACCGGTGGGACTGTCTCTGCCGACTGTCCCTACCCCATGAGTGGGACCGGTGGGGCTGTCTCTGCCGACTGTCCCTACCCATGATTGGGACCGGTGGGACTGTCTCTGCCGACTGTCCCTACACCATGAGTGGGACCGGTGGGACTGTCTCTGCCGACTGTCCCTACCCCATGAGTGGGACCGGTGAGACTGTCTCTGCCGACTGTCCCTACCCCATGAGTGGGACCGGTGGGACTGTCTCTGCCGACTGTCCCTACCCCATGAGTGGGACCGGTGGGACTGTCTCTGCCGACTGTCCCTACCCCATGAGTGGGACCGGTGGGGCTGTCTCTGCCGACTGTCCCTACCCATGATTGGGACCGGTGGGACTGTCTCTGCCGACTGTCCCTACACCATGAGTGGGACCGGTGGGACTGTCTCTGCCGACTGTCCCTACCCCATGAGTGGGACCGGTGGGACTGTCTCTGCCGACTGTCCCTACCCCATGAGTGGGACCGGTGAGACTGTCTCTGCCGACTGTCCCTACCCCATGAGTGGGACCGGTGGGACTGTCTCTGCCGACTGTCCCTACCCCAGGAGTGGGACCGGTGGGACTGTCTCTGCCGACTGTCCCTACCCCATTAGTGGGACCGGTGGCACTGTCTCTGCCGACTGTCCCTACCCCATGAGTGGGACCGGTGGGACTGTCTCTGCCGACTGTCCCTACCCCAGGAGTGGGACCGGTGGGACTGTCTCATCCGACTGCCCCTACCCCATGAGTGGGACCGGTGGGACTGTCTCTGTCGACTGTCCCTACCCCATGAGTGGGACCGGTGGGACTGTCTCTGCCGACTGTCCCCACCCCATGAGTGGGACCGGTGGGACTGTCTCTGCCGACTGTCCCTACCCCATGAGTGGGGACGGTGGGACTGTCTCTGCCGACTGTCCCTACCCCATGAGTGGGACCGGTGGGACTGTCTCTGCCGACTGTCCCTACCCCATGAGTGGGACCGGTGGGACTGTCTCTGCCGACTGTCCCTACCCTATATGTGAGTGTCCGTTTCTGCGGCGGCCGCTGAGCCCCCAACCCTGTCCTTCTCCTCTCCCCAGTCCGCTGTGCAGAGTCACTCGAGGTCACGTGGTCAACTGGGTGTCTTCTCCAATGCACCTTGTATTCGTCGATCGACCTTACACACCACGGTGCAGTCACATGACTACGACCCGACTCCCCTCCGTGCCGTCCGACGCGCCGGCATGGCCCCACAACTGGGACAAACGGCCACCGGGGACGCTCCTGTGTCCGATGTTCGTCTCCGTCCACACCGGAGAGGACAGGGCAGGCGGCGGCCGGCCGACGCTGCCCGCGGCGCCGAGGTGACAGCCTCAGACCTCGCTGCTCCCATTACGCTACACTGGTCAGGCCGGGCCGGCGGCGGCGTGCCATCGGCCGCCGGCCAGCCGGCCTCCCCGTACTGACCACTCACTCACATACAACACACACACCTGTTTATCGAGAAACATACAGAACATACGCTCTGAACTATGTAATCAGCAGTCACTAACGAATAACGATGGTCTTCCATAACTCAATAGTCTCAAATGTCCCGCCCGCCCCCTGATCATCCAGCGGTGCCGTCCCAGTGGTCGGTCGGGGCTCGACCGGTGGTCGGTCGGCAGACAGACCGACCGGTCACCGCCAGGTCACGGCCGGCCCACTGACAAGCACGCCGTGCCGCCGCCGGGGCCGTGGCCGTGCTCCGGCCGTGCCCTGACCGGGCTCACCGGCTCTGACCAACCGGCCTCAGAGATCTGACACCAACTACCGGCTGGACGAGCCGCCGAGCGGCCTGCCGACCGACCGCTCCCGTATGGCAGCGGGCCGCCGCCAGCTGCACCACCAGACACCGACAACAAGCACCGACACACTGTCACAGCACATCCAGCAGCGGGCTTGTCTCGCTGTCAACCACGTGACCTCGCCTGTCCATCAACGCACTCACAAAATCAACTAATTACCCCCGCATGTCCATCAACCCACTCACAAAATCAACCGGTCACCTCTCGTCAAATACACACAAAATAATACCGAGCTCACAACCATTCCCGTATTTATCGGAAAATCCCACCACAGCAGTCACCCCCGTTGCCGTCGTGTGGCCTTTCCGTTGCAGTGCGGGACGATTGTCAGCCCCCGTCGCTGCTGTGGCCAGCGGGCGGCTCCAGCACAGCGGCGAGCGTTACTGGCTGCAGCCGGTGTGTCCGTGCCCACAGCCGGGTGCAGCTGTTGGAGGCCGTGTTGGAGGCCAGTGTGACGTCACACCGTCGTGCCGTCCCAGTCCGTGTCAGTGTCCGAGTGACAGCGGTCTATATATATACAGTGTCAGCTGTGTCCAGCTGCTGGTGCTCCGACTGTCAGCTGAACTGACACACTGACACTGCAGCCCCTGACAGTGTCAGACCGGCCCCCGGTCAGTGTCAGCTGCCGGCACGGAGAGCGGTCCGGTGACACTCCCAGCTGCAGCCCCCTCCCCGTGGCTGGTGCCGCTGCAGTCTTATTGTGCCGGTGGTCAGCTCCGGCAGAATCCACCACAAACAGCTCCCGTCAC